CCTGGTAGTGACCACAACACAATAATCTGCGCCCTCGATACAAAGCTGCACTCATCAAAATGCTCTACCCTGCGCAAGACATTCATGTGCTTCGGAAAAGCTAGGTGGGATGCATTTAATTCCTTCATTAGAAGATTAGACTGTGACCTTTTCTTTTATAGTAGCAGCCTAGACACTATCCTAATAGCCTTTTACCAGAATGTAACTGTATGCTTTGATAAACTTGTTCCTAAATGTAAAGAGAGCCCAAGACAAAACATAAAGAATTTCATTCCTATAAAAGTAAAGGCTAAGCTGCGAAAGCTGCACCGACAGTACCACAAAGAAAATGACTTCTCGTGTCTTGTAAATATACAGAACATTTATCTCAGATTGAAAGAAAATAACGACAACGTTCTACTCAGACAAGAAAGTGCAGCCCTTAAAGATAGCTCTAAATACACTGCAATCTGTAAGCTTTATCGCAAAAGGCTAAACTCTCGTAAAACAGATATACAATTCATCTTAGAAAATGGTGAGACTGCTACTGACCCTAAAATAATTTGTGAGCTTCTAAACTCCTACTTCTCACGGTCATATGCCCATGATGACAACACGTCGCCACAACCTCTATTCCATGTACGTTCACAAAAAACTTTAGAAACTATCAGCTTTTCTTTGGATAATATTAAGAAAGCAATCACGTCCCTTAAAAGTTCAAACAACCCTGGTCCTGATATGATTCCCTCAACTTTTTTAAAATACGGTGGTGAAGACATCCCTATTCTCTTTCTTAAATTGTTCTCTATCTCTCTATCAACTGGAACATATCCAGATGCATGGAAAACCACGCACATTACCCCTAGGTATAAGTCAGGCTCCCGTTCAAGTGTCATGAGTTACAGACCCATTAACCTAACTTCTGTTATTTCAAGGGTTCTGGAAAAGATTGTGAAAAGTGCCATTTTTGACTTCCTCTCTCAAGAGAAACTTATCACTCCTTATCAACATGGTTTCATGAAGTCACGTTCTTGCACTACATGCCACTTACAATTTTTCGATCACATCTCACAACTGAAAGATTCCAGTATGATCACAGTTATTGTATACTTAGATCTTAGTAAAGCTTTTGACACAGTAAGCCACCGACTGTTAATATCAAAAGTCCAGTCTTATGGCATCCAAGGTTCTTTGTTAAGCTGGCTCAGTTCATTCCTAAGCAATCGGAAGCAAATGGTCAGGTTAGGTTCCCACACATCCAACCCCGTTCGGATAACAAGTGGAGTCATACAAGGTAGTGTTCTAGGTCCACTGTTATTCCTGTTATATTTCAATGATATTTGCGACGTTATTAGACATGACAGACCTTTCCTATTTGCTGATGACATCAAAATAGTATACCACTCACTCAGAAATGAAGTGTCATGTGTATTTGATAGGATTCAGGATGATATTGATAGGGTTCAATTGTGGTGTAACACGTGGAAAATGAAGTTTAACGTTGAAAAATGTGGTGTGCTATGCTCCAAAGGCATTTCATCCGAACTTTCCATCTCCCTACACAACAATCATATTCCTCGTCTGCCGCTTACAACAGACTTGGGTCTAAAATACACTCCAGAATTTAGCCTAACGGAATACGTTAAATTACAAGTATCAAAGGTTAAAAGGCTTTTTGGGTTTTTATTCCGAAACTTTAAAGCGTGTGAATCCAAAATTATGCTGTACAAGTTATGCATAAGGCCCTTACTTGAATTTTGTCCTCCTGTCATGGACAGTGTTTCCGTAAAAGACAGGTGCAAATTGGAAAGCCTACAAAGGGCGTTTACCAAACGTCTAGTAGGTGAAAATCTTTGCATTTCCTACTACGACAGATGTAACATATTTGACTTGGAACCCTTATGGGTCAGACGACTGAAGTTTAACCTAAAAATTACATTTAGGATCGCTAAAGGGCTTATATATTTCCCCCACAATGAATTTACTTTTAGTTCACCTAAGAAATATAACCTTAGAAATAAATCTTCATCTTTTGAAGTGCCCCGCTGTCATACAAAGTACAGATCAAATTCTTTCACTGTCAGATACCGCTGCATTTGGAACCGTCTTCCAACTGAAATTAGAAACAGTCCTACCCCGAAAGCCTTCTCATCTCTGCTGAACAAATATTTTATCAACACCGGGTTAGAAGGCGTATGTGACAGACTGAAAATCAGAGATGTAATACGGCACTCCTCTGACCCTCACTGTTAGCTCCCGAAATCTGTGATCTCTATGTTTGACTCTACTTTCACTATGATTGTTTTCACAACCCCAGTCACCTATCCCTAATCAGCCTTAAATTTTAATTATTTCTTCATTCAAATATTAAAAAATTTTTTTGCACATATCACTGATAACATGGTATTATGAGTATTTCAGCATGCTAAGAGTTCAGTCTCAAGTTCCAGATGCAAATCAACTGAAGACGACTGGTATTAAAATGTCTCTGGAGACTGCCTAATGCTACATGTTAGCACTGCCTGCCTATAAGCAAATTAAGGCCCGAATGTTGGTAGTCTAAATAATCAACTATACGGTGAGTCCTAAATAGTAATGAATCCTATCCTACTGTTCTATAACTATAATCTTGTTTAGTCAAATCTTTCGGAACGAAATATTATAAATTACTACTACTTATATGTTTAATGCTGCATGATTATGCACTGTTTTCCGAAATTACATTTGTTTATATCTAAAATGTAGACTCTGATAGTCTATTTTCCTTATACTTTTATTATTGTTCCTCTCCAAAATGCTGTAACAGATGAAACATACATGACGGTCTTCTGAAAGTAGTCACTCATGCCATGACTTCGAATGAGTTGACAAATGAATATTTTTTTAAAAAAAGAAAAGTTTGTGGCATATTATAACAGAAATTAAAAGATATATATCAAAAAATGAAGCATTTTGCCAGGGCCTTGCACAAAAAAGGTGGGAGGGTGGTGATTGCTAGTCAGCGGATATGATGGTGGGGACATATGAGAACCACCCTTATCTGTGGGACAGCACTCTATTGCTAAGGCTCCTGAGTTCGAATGGCTTCTGCAAAATAAGAGAATAAATAAAATTTAAATAAAACAACAAAAGTTGAAAATTTGCCTAAAGCTGAAGTTTAAATAACAAACTCCTCGAATGCAAGTACATGGTATGAGTCCCCTACTTCAGAAGGACACCTAAATGTATACTTCAGAAAAACAGTAGTTATTATTAAGCCCTCGCTTTTCTTCTACATAGTTCACGCACTTTGACTTTTGTGTTTAACTCCTATTCAACCTATATAAGTAGGTAAAATTATCATCTTTTTCACTTAAACTTTTTTTCTTTTCGCAAGAAAGACTAGAATTCCATCACTAGAGAATCTCAGGGGGAAATAGTATTTTTTAAATGGAAAAAAAAAAAAAAATGATGAACCCCATGTTTTTTATATATGTTTTGAATTATTAACACCTATTATATACTTCTGCACCTCTCTGTCGGTTTCCTTGTGTCTTCTTCTCTTTTCAAAGGTACTGCCTTAAACGAAGGCACAGTAACAGTGCCGTTATCCTCAACTAGTTCGGAATATTGCTAGCCCACCTGGTGAATAACGGAACCACCTCTATCATGAAATCTGCTGACAAGTTCAAAGTTGGTCTCATATACAACTGGAAATGTCACAATTATGGTGTACTTACCGGTGAATTTGAAGTTTTATGGACTTTCAAACACTCTATGAATCATTTACTTACAATTACTGTTCATTCCGCATCTCTTATATTTCACGTCAGCACCTGTACAAAAATGCTACTTACTTTCCACAATTAACGTAATCGTTTATAATTCCCGCGTGAAATTGACATACCGTATTTTTTTCAATTACAGTTTTGATTTGATGCTATATCTCATGAATTATTCAGTTGAAAGCATATCTCGAAAATTACCTATTGCCTTATTTGTACATTTCTTTTTAAATATTTCTCTCAAATTTACCAGTATTCAATCTATTTCTAGATTAACAAATCATATATATTCTATAAGTTCTAATTATTGCCCGGTACGTTCGAACCAGGTGACGCTTTTTGCACGTGTTTTCGTTTATATTCATTTATTGCTTACTGTTGATTAATCTTTAATAACGATGGGCCGAAATTCTAAAAAGAGTGTTCGTGTGAACACCAGTAATTTAGAAAATAGCACCAGCTCGTCTAATAACACATTACCACCCCTTATTATTAGTAGTTCACCCAACAGAAAAGACTCGAACATAACTCTGACCCCTGTAATACAGGTGGAAGATGTTCTGTCTGAAAAAGTAGAGCTCTCTTACTTAACATGCATTATTAAAGAGATGCAGCTACAGATTGATGAATTAAAAACGAAATTAAGTTCATTTGAATGTATACCCGAAACTATCTCACTTATGAAAAAGGAACTGCAGGATCCTACAATCCTAAAGCTTTTTAATATGACCTCTAGAATGACGCCTACTGACTCAGAAAATGCGAAGGAGCTAGAAAACGCCATTGACTTTCTATCCAGCGAAGTTGTTAAAAGGCTGGCTTCGAAACAAAACGCTATAGTGTATAATGTACCAGATAGCGAGCCCATTAAGTCGGTCCAGCACTCATTGCTGAAGGCTGCAAATCTCTTGAGTGCACCTTGTCAGTGCATTCGCCTAAGTAAAAAAGACCTAAAGCATCCCTGTCCTATACTCTTTAGGTTCGACAGCTACATAATAGCTGAACGATTTAAGAAGGCCGAAGATCTTCTGGCTACTGCCACTAAATTCAAGACTATTAAAGTAGTCTCGGATAAAACAACTAACCAAAGGCAAGCAACCAAGAACTCCTTCGATAGAAAGTTGACCACACCGAGAACTACACCTGGTATCAGTGCTAAAGTGTCGACGGACACTGAAGCACAGCAAGTCACCTGTATAGTGTTGGAAAAAAATCGGCAAGTAAAAGCGACTCGAAACTCAGTAAGAGCAGTGTCACTGGGTGCAATCCTAAAGTACATGAGAGCACATCTGGAAAACCTGCTGACATACATGAGGTTGATATTGACTCACAAACTATGTCTGACCAGAAACCACTGGCAGACCACACTCAATCTGGATGCAAGCCCGAGAGTCCCGCAGTAGAAACTGCAAGAAAGACGACAAAGCCTAGAGTCCCACTCCAGACTTCGACATACCTCCCTCTCAATAAGTCTAATAAGCAACATGTCAGTCTAAAAAAAGACAATGCATGGGTAAAAAACCATATTCCCAAAAAAGTCATCCATCATGTGAATGGGAACACCCCTTCCCGAACTAGGAGTAATATACCTAGCAACGCACATAACTTGGGAATGCAACGTAGAACGGATCATCAGGATATAAGGAGCACTAAACGGGGCTCATATAGGCACCATATTAATGCATATTCTTGTCCAAACTCTCACACTATCTATGTTGAACCTCAGCAACATAATGAGTATAGATCGACACATGACCCTCTCAATAACTTCACTCACACATGTGATGTGAGCCAATATGCATACGACTATGAAAGACCCATGAGGTACAACTACCAAGGTAATCTTAACACAGGGTACCTAGGTCAAGCAAACTATATATCACCAGTAAATGAACGCAGATGCCCACCCATGGATGCTAAAAGTCAAAACATGCAACAGGATTATTTTCGGATGCAGCAAACAATAGCCCCACTCGCTGCACAATTCATCCAGGAAATAGTACACACACTGACTCTGTCTCACCTCAGAGCCCCTCCAAACATAACGTAGGGATAGAAACAAGTAACCATGTTAACCTCTCCCCCAATAACTCTGGTTTACTAACGATTATGCTCCTGAATGCTAGATCTCTCCTTAACAAAATAACATCGCTTCGCTGCCTGGCATACATAGAACGGCCAACACTAATAATGGTGACTGAAACCTGGCTTACTACTGATATACCTGACTCAAAGCTAGTAATAGACAACTACGACATCTATAGGAACGATAGAGTTGACAAAAGAGGAGGCGGCTGCTTAATATATGCCTCTAAATCCACTAACTCCAATACTTTCAATAACCCAACTACTGACAAACTCCCTGAATCTAAGTGGATAAGCATCCACACAAACGAAAATAAAATTCTCGTGGGATGTTTATACAGAGCCCCTAATAGCCCTGAAATGACTGATATAACTATTGGAGAAATACTAGAGCATGCAGCTACGCTGGACTTTGACTACAAAGTAGTTTGTGGCGATTTCAACTTACCTGGAGTAAACTGGAATACCTGTACAGGACCTAGAATCCATGACGAGCTACTACAAGCTATAGACGTAGGCGGATGGAAGCAGTGCGTACGCCTCCCTACAAGAAATGAAAACACTCTTGACTTAATCCTTTGTCATGAAATTGAGCCCATCTCGATAGAGGTAGGAAATAAACTTGATAACAGTGATCACAACATATTGTACTGCACGCTACCATTCCGACTAACAACTAAACACACACCTAAAAATTCCCCGGTGCACTATCAGTATAGGGACTATAAGAATGCCGATTGGGAATTCCTATCAGATCTGCTGAGAAGTTCTGACTGGGAAGAATACTTCATTAACAATAACTTAGAAGTATCACTCGATATTTTCTACAAAACAATTGGCTCAGCAAGAGACATAATCGCGCCCCTAAAATCTGCTCTAAAGACACCAACTCCATTTATAGACCGCAAAACGCGACTAAAACTAAAGAAATTGAAAAGGAAATACCATGTATTTAAGGAATTTAATGCGTTAAACCAAATACATGAAACTCTCAAACGGCTCGAAGATAAACACAAAATGATGTCACAACTTGAAGAAAATAAAGCGCTTGTGGGTAACTCCAAAACTCAGGAACTTTGTAGGATATTGCAGAGACGTCTAAAAAGTAGTAAAGACAATACTGTAAGCAGCTTGGAGCATAAGGGTATAATACACAATGATCCCCAGGTTATCAGTGAACTCCTCAATGAGTGGTTTTGCAATGACGCCAGAGTGCACCCAACCCCAAATTTCCAAATGACTTGCAAAAGCAACCACAAATTAGGCGGAATAGACTTTAATATACAAAATATAGACTCAGCGATTAAGACTTTGAAGTCTAATGTTAGTACTGGAACAGATGACATACCATCTGTCATGTACAAAAATGGTAGCACGGAAATGGTAGTCTTGTTACTTAGAATATTTACTCTCTCATTAGAAACTGGAACTTATCCTGAAGTGTGGAAAACCACATACATATTACCTAAGCACAAAGCAGGGGCCAAAACCAGTGTATGCAACTATAGACCTATCAATATAACACCGGTAATATCCCGAATAATGGAGAAAGTGGTTAAAGACCAAGTGTCAGACAACTTACTAGAACATGAACTTATCAATCCATCACAACACGGATTTCTCAAAAAGAGATCATGCGTGACCTGTCACATAGACTTTTTCAATGAAGTTACACGAAGTAGGGACAACAGAGAACTAGTAATTGTGCTCTATTTCGATATAACAAAAGCCTTCGACAGAGTTCCCCATAATCTGCTAGTCAGCAGGTTATGCTCACTAGGGATATGTGATCCTCTCCTGAGCTGGATAAAATCATTTCTCTGTGGCCGAAGTCAGACAACGAAAGTTGGCTCGATAATCTCAAGGCCTAAACCAGTAAGTAGTGGTGTAATCCAGGGAAGTGTATTAGGCCCACTCTTATTCATAATATATATAAACAGTATCTGTGAATGCTTTAGTGTAGGTAAACCAATACTATATGCAGATGACTTAAAAGTAACGTATAAATGCAAGAACACAGATCTTGGAATAACAGTAAACGCCATACAGCAAGAATTAGAAAAAATGGATAGATGGTGTGACACCTGGCAACTCCAATTTAATGTCGAAAAATGTGGCTGGCTCTGCATAGGTTGCAACAACTTAGAACTTGACCTGAAAATTCAAGGCCATGCACTTGAACGACTGGAATCTGTACTGGACCTAGGGCTGAAATATTCACATAACTTATCATTTTCTGAACACATCTCCAAACAAGTGTCAAAGTCACGCAGACTTATCGGCTTTCTACTCAGGAACTTCTACAGAAATGAGTCTAGAATTCTGTTGTACAAGGTTTGTGTGCGTCCTTTATTTGATTACTGTTCATTCATGTATAGTAGCATACGCATAGAGAACAAATTGAAAGTCGAGGGAGTGCAGAGGTACTTCACGTTAAAATTACTCGGAACCGGAAATGGTACGAACTACTCCACTAGATGTGATACCCTAGGACTAGAAACACTATGGCTAAGACGCCTGAGACTAAACTTGACACTTTACTATAAGCTTCTAAACCACTTAGTTTTTACCTCTACTAATGGCACTCGACTTTCAGATGACAATGGGTACAAACTAAGACACCCTAAGGGTACAGTAGCTATCGAACAATGTAAAACAGCCACCAGGCAAAAGTTTTACTTGATTAGGTATGCACAGATATGGAATAAACTGCCAATGGAAATGCGTCAAGCAAGTACATTGGCCTCCTTCAAAAAGGTGCTTAATGACAAACTACAAGAGTTTGCAAACGATATTAGTTCTAGTTCCTATCTGAGAGCCTCCGAAATTATAGGTCCATTTAATGTATAAGCTTAAATACTACACCTGTTGTTTTTTGCCTATATTTATAATTCTAGATAAAACATTAACGGTTAAGATACGTATCCTCAAACAGACAAGAAATCTCCTTTGTAAAACTACTACCCAACACAATAAGTGGAATAAAATGGACATAAACCGACAACATGAAAAAGGTATAACTCACCACAACATCACATGGACAGATGAACGCTCCTTGGGCACTATATATACCTCACCAACTACAACCCACCTTTCCTAAGATATTGTGGTGAACTCATATCCATAATGTTGCTGAGCAGTTAATATTTTCAACTCCTGTCGGAACAGCTGAAATTCATAAACCTTCGTCACGCTAAGAAAATACCCACAAGCAGTAGAAATCCATCAATTAATGTGTCTAAAGCTTATGTATTTACTCCCAACAATGACATTGCAGATCAAATGAGATAAACACATCACTGATTTCAAAATAACACATCAATGAACTATAATTCGAGGACTCTGCACACAACAAAGTTATGTATGAATATTTACTTCAAGCTTTATTTTTTTCCCAGGCACTTATAATCCATCCACCAAAGACCTGGTTTTTTTGTTAATGCGAAGACAATACTCCTGTATTTCCTGTTGTGTTGCACTCACTGAAAATCTAGCAGATTTTTCCAACTTTGCACAGAAATGATTGTATATAAGTGGAAAGGCTGTTTTATACTACTGGAATTAACATTTATCAAGTGTATGTATGATCCCCATCGAACATGTAAAGCATATCTTGCTACTGGCTGTAAATTGTGATTGAATTATATGGTTCTATTTCTGTAACAATTTGATGATGCCTGTAAACTGGCGTCCCTCATGTACTGTACTATGAGAATAAATTTATTTATTTATTTATTTGTTCATGCCTGTAAAAATGGCTGGTTTCTGTTCCAGAAATATTATTATTATCACTTGAAGTCGACTATGAGTGTGTTTTATATTCAGTCCTCTTATATGTTAGTAAATATAGTCCGCTGACTTTCGTTCTACATAAAACACTGTTCGGTATCCCCCACCCTTCCTTGAATGGTAGTTGCGTCTGTATCGCCACTCTTGTGATACTGTATTATTTCACCTGTATTTCAGAAACATAAAGTTTATATCAGTTCACCTTCTGTTTGAACTAATGCTGAGCCCAGAACCTGTGTCATCAATTTTGGTACTGAGAACAAAAACCTGTTAATAAATCTAACCACTCAAATTTTCGAACAGTACGTCGTCAGATGTAAAGTACGATCCCATGCCAATGTTATCTTCACAATCGGAAAAGAGTAGTGAAGCAGATGCTGCCAGACTTGGTGATTGTAAATAAAATAGTGCGGAAAAGCCGTAAGTAGAAAAAAATGAGCGTTGTCCAATTAGAAAGGGAAATTGAGTCAGAAGGATAAAGGCAAGCAAGTCGCAAATGTTCCGGCACAAGAAGTTGTCTTATACGCCTTCCGCCTCTCACGCAGCTGATATACTTCCTAATGACGAGTTTACCAGAACCACACTTGAGTTATTGGATAAATCTAAAAGAGAGGCCATTAAATTTGACAGCAATCCTATAAATTAGCGGAATTATATGAAGAATTCCGAAGGCTTGGTGGATAATGTTGCTGTTGGATATAGGGCCAAACTATATTATTTGGCTCACTACTGTGATAGGAGGGAAGAGGGTGTTATCAAGCATTGTTTTCCGTTCAGAATGAAGAAATCATACCATAAAGCCTAAGAACTGTTCGGGAAGACATTCGTGAAAAGCCCTCGGCGCCCCGAACTTTTAAAGACAAACTTCTAGATTCCCCGGCTGTAAGAGATAATGACTCGGCACAATTGGGAAGTTCGTCTCGAGAGAGATACCAGAGTGAAATCTAACACTTGACCAAATCATTTATGTGTCCATCGAATTATGGTAGGACTACTGAAAGCCTAACCTTGAAACGCTCTTTATATCCACAGAGATAGTGGTCAAAAAGTGACTGCAACATTATTAAGAAAGACTGTGAGCCATCGTTTGACTACTTAAGTTTATTCGGCAAAAGGTGGTCTGTTTTCGCTAACACCAATTATGAGCTGCTGATTAGTGGA